CCTTCCCACCGGGGTCTGCAGCTGGGTCCTGGGCTCCGGGTCTCAGGATGGAGGTGGGGATCTGGCACATTAACCCCTCTCAGTCCTCCTGGGGGCCTGGGCAGAATGTGGAGCGAGGCTCCCTCCCCAGGACAGCCCAGGCCTCGGAGCAGACCGCCTGGTCGCACCACTTCCCTGAGGCCGTTTTTGGAGACATCAGGGGGTCTTTCTGGACACCAGGAGGGGCTGGGAGTGAGGACCTGGCCCCCAGGGGGAGGGCTGGCCCAGGGTGGCAGGAACAGCTGCTGGGAATCTGTGGCTCTGAGTCCCTGGCCTCCTCCCCTCGATCTGTGTTCCTGGGCGGGAGGAGTGCTGAGCGAAGGGGCCGTAGGTGGCTAATCCCTCTGGCCACTGCCCCACGGCCTGGCCCGGACCCTGGGCCCTGGCCTCTGGCCTCCACCAGCTGTTACCAACGTTTCTTTGTCTGGAGTCTGAGCCAAAGCCTCCGGGAGCCAGGACACCCTGAGCCTTAATCCAGCAGATCAGCGCGAGGTGTGGGAACAGGCGGCATCGCTCGGGAGACGGCAGCCCCGGGCCAGCCGCAGAGGCTGTCGGGAGGGCTGCGCCTGCTGTCCAGGGACCTGGGCCTGACAACACCGGCTTCTCCCAGGACCGAGGCCTGGGGAGCAGCGGCTGAGGGTCACAGGCCTCTGGTCTGGTCCCAGCTCCGCTGTGTGGCCACGGGCACGGCCCTACCGCTCGCCGAGCTTCGTTTTCCTCAGTAACACGGTCCCTGGTGAATGTAATGAGGGCTGAACTGCATGGCATAGGTGGGGAGTGCTGGGAGGGCTTCCTGGGGGAGGAGGGCTTCGGGCTGAGCTGTGACGAGAAGGAGCGGGCAGCCTGGGCAGGGGGACAACAACACGAGAGAGAAGAGCAGGCCTTGCCCCCAGCACAGGGGAGCCTGGATGTGCCCATTGACCCCGGTCTGAGCCAGACCCGGCACAACCAGCAATGAGGCCCTCCCCCACTCGGCTTTGCTGTTCCTCCTGTAACACAGCCACACAGTACAGGCTCCCTTCCCGCTCTGCTCGCCGGGCTGGGCAGCCGTGGGCCAAGGTGGGCGCCGGCCTGTGGGACCAGGCAGGACAGGCCGTGGGAGCCATGGCAGGTCCTTGAGGCAGGGGTGCCTGATGAGAGGGTGACGGAGAGAGAGGAGCCTGACGGGGAGGAAGGAGAGCTCAGGAGGTGGGGATGGACTCTGCAGGATCAAGCTGCCCATTCGGAGGAGGGCGAGGGAACCCTCCGGGCAGAGCCTCGGAGGGAGCGGGTGCAGAGAGCAGAGCCCCGTGGCCAGTGGCTCCTCGGGCAGCTGCCTGGCCTCCCTGAGCCTCCCTGTCAGCGTCTAGAAATGGGGCTCCGGCCAACGTCACCCAGGCTGTGGGCAGTAAAGGGGGGAACGTGCGTGGACGCTGTGGGCAGAGGCACTCACTGCAGTTCTTCCTTCCCACCCAGGCCGGCCGGTGCCCGGGGAGAGGCCGGAATTGCAGGCTGGGCACACCCCCTCCTGACTCCCTGACCACAGGCCAAGGTGCCCCAGGCCTGGGCCCCTGGGGGCTCCCCTGTGAGTGAGCAGGCCTTTCTCTTGCTTTCCAGGTTTCTTTCTTTTTTTCTTTCTTTCTTTCTTTTTAATATATATATATATATTATTAATTTCAGGGAGGAAGGAAGACAGAGAGAAAGAGAGAGAAACATCGAGGATGAGAGAGAACCATTGATCGGCTGCCTCCTGCACGCTCCCCACTGGGAACTGAGCCTGCAATCTGGGTATGTGCCCTGACCAGAATCGAACCTGGGACCTCTGAGTTTGCAGGTCGACGCTCTATCCACTGAGCCAAACCCGCCAGGCTCAAGGCTTCTTAATAGCGAGTATGTTCTCCGGGGAGGGGGGCGCTGGGCCCAAGCTCCAGCCGCAAGCAGGCTCCTGGGCTCAGGGGCAAGAGGATGGGGAGCTGCCATGGGGGGGGGGGGGGAGGCAGGAGCCCTCTCTGGCAAAGGGCCCGGGCAGGAGCCTGAAGATGGGCCAGGTGTCTCAGCTGCACCTGGACATGCGCATCCACAGATGGACTGAGGGAGGCCCCGCTGCCTCTCCCGGGCGGGACGGGGAGGACCGAGTGCACAGCTCCCTCCGCAAACCTGTCAGGAGCGTGTCATCACGTCCCCGCCCGGCAAACACCGCCGCCTGCCCTGCCCATTCATCCTCACTGACCCTGTGCCACCGGGCCCCAAAACACCGCCACTGCTCCCATCCTACCCGCGGCCGAGGCCAAGCAAACACGGCCAGGGCTCCTGTTCTTGGAAAAGCTTCCGGCTCCTGGCCCGCGGCCCGGGTGTTGGCAGAAACTGTCCTAACGTGGCAGGCCTGGGCGTTCTGGGGACGTGGATGGGGCGGGAGGCAGGCAGGGGGTGACGGGGCGGGGGGAGCTGAGGGGGCTCTCCAGGCGGGGTCACCTCGGGGCAGGGCGTGGGCCCAGGCCGGGGTGGGGACCTGGGGCCCAGCGGGCTGTGGGTGCTGCCTGGGCAAACAACGGGGCCCACGGCACACACGCGTGTTTGCACAGAGGACTTGGACGACTCCAGGCCTGCCTTCTGTCCCCCGCAGCCTGTCCCCGTCCTTCCCGCCCTCCCAGCCCCTGACCTTTCCTCCTTGTCACTTAGAGGAGCCTGAAGGGAGCATCGAAGTCAGAGGGAACGCCCTCTCTGCTGGCATGCTCTCCGCCAGGGCCAAGGGCGGGGCTGCCAGGGGAGGCTGGGAGGCTGGGCCTGCACAGGGCGGACGGACGGACGGACGGAGGGACACTGTCCCCGGTGCGTTCGCCCAGCCAGGCCCCAGGGAGAAGCCATGGCCCCCGAGTGAGCTGAGTGCAGCGAGCTGAGCAGGTGCGGAGCGGGCTGGCTGCGGCCCCAGAGAAGCCGAGTGTTTCCCAAACTAGTGCTTTTCCTCCGGCCAGCGGGGCCGAGTCCCCGGGGCCTGGAGTCGGCCCAGGGAGTCCCACTCTGCAGGGGCACATCAATGCCAGCGATAGGGCAGCCCCCAGCCCCCGACTGGCCAGCTGCTCTGAGGGCAGCGTGTCAGGACCACCCATGCCCAATCCCAGCTCTGAGATCCCCGCCCTGGGGTCCCAGCTCTGAGATCCCCGCCCTGGGGTCCCGGCTCTGAGGTCCCGGCTCTGGGGTCCCGCCCTGGGGTCCCGGCTCTGAGGTCCCGGCTCTGGGGTCCCCGCCCTGGGGTCCCGGCTCTGAGATTCCCGCCCTGGGGTCCCGGCTCTGGGGTCCCGGCTCTGAGATCTCGGCTCTGAGGTCCCGGCTCTGGATCCCCGCCCTGGGGTCCCGGCTCTGGGGTCCCGGCTCTGAGATCCCCGCCCTGGGGTCCCGGCTCTGAGATCCCCGCCCTGGGGTCCCGGCTCTGAGATCCCCGCCCTGGGGTCCCGGCTCTGAGATCCCCACCCTGGGGTCCCGGCTCTGGGGTCCCGGCTCTGAGTTGGGCCTGAGGACTCGCCTTCCCAACCAGTCCCCAGCCGCTGACCCCGCGCAGCTGGCGGGTCTGCCTGCCAGCCTCTGTGTTCAGGCGGCAGCGCCCCGAGGGGGCACCGATCCGGCAGGTCCCCCGCTCCCTTCCCCCGGGGGGAGCGTGTACTTGGTGATCTCCCACCGCTGCTGGGATTTCTTCTTCTTATTGTTATTTCAATTGTCAGTCTTGGGCCAGCACGTCACAGACATACCCCAAAACCCCGTTTGGTGTCTGGCCCTGTCTCCGGTGCCCTGGTCGCCCAAACCACACACTCCAGCCCGGGGCTCAGGGACAGGGCCTGGGCTCGCAGGGCCTGGTGACCCATGGGGAGGGGGCCCTGGCTGCTGCCCCGGGGCCCTGGGGCCACAGGGCGGAGGGGGCCTCCTCACCGGCCCCCGCTGCCCGGGAACGTGGGCCTGCAGGTCAGCATGTGGGCACCACCTCAGCGCCCGGGAGAGGAGGGGGCCTGGGGCAACACCTCTGAGGGGAGGACAGGTGTGTGTGGGGGTGCCAGCCCTGAGCAGGGCCAAGCACAGTGTTACTCACTGACCACTCATCAGCCTCACGCTGGGAACTGATCACACCACCCCCAATGGCCTGTGGGAAGGGGAGGGGCTGTCTGCCCAGCGTGAGGGACTCTGCCCCCCACCCTCTCTGGCCCCGCTCCTCCTGAGCCTGGCTGATGCAGATGGTGGTGGGAAAAAGATGATGGTGACCCTCTCCCTTCCCAACTTCCTTCAAGAGCAGAAAAAGCTGAAACCGGTTTGGCTCAGTGGTAGAGCGTCGGTCTGCGGACTGAAAGGTCCCAGGTTCGATTCCGGTCAGGGGCATGTACATTGGTTGCAGACACATTTCCTGTAGGGAGTGTGCAAGAGGCAGCTGGTCGATGTTTCTCTCTCATGGACATTTCTAGCTCTCTATCTCTCTCCCTTCCTCTCTGTAAGAAATCAATAAAATATATATTTTTTAAAGAAAAAGCAGAAAAAAAGAAACTAGCAGGAAGGATCTAGGTTAGCTCTCAGAAGGAGCTTCCACCGCAGGCCAGGGTCTGGGATCTGGGTGTGGGCTGGAGGGGAAACAGAGGGCTAGACATTAAAGGCTCCTTGTCCAGGCCTCAGTTTGCTCACCTGGTAAATGGGACTAACCGTGTCTTCCGCTGTGAGGCCTGAAGGAGGCCAGGAACCAGAGGCGGTTTTAAGGCACAGCACACGCGGGAAGACCTGCGCTGCCCGTGCCTGGCTCCTTGGGAGTGAGAGGCTGCCCCTTCCAATCCTGCCCCAGCCCCCCTCACTGTCCTCTCCAGCCCCGTCCTCGCTGCCCAGTGACCCGAAGCCGCCTCTCTCCCAGGCCCAGCCATGCCCATTGGGGCCCTCATCCCGGTCACCAGCTTAGCGGCCCCATGGGGGTGGGGAAGCAGCGGACCTGACTCCTTCCTCTCCTGTTTCTGCAGACACAGCCGCTGGCCCGGGCAGCAGTGGCATGGGCAGCGCCAGCCCCAGCCTGAGCAGCCTGCCCCCCAGCCGCCTCCTTCTGTCCCCCAACACTGTGCTGCGGGCGGGCCCGGAGAAGGTGACTGCCGGGGTGCCGGGCCCTGACAGACGGGACTGGAGCCCCAGCCCGCCGGCCACGCCCGAGCAGGGCCTGTCCGCCTTCTACCTCTCCTGCTTGGACATGCTGTACCCCGGCGACAGCAGCTGGGCCGCCAAGGGCCCCGGGGCCGGCAGCCGGGACGAGCCGCCCGAGGAGCCCGAGCAGTGCCCGGTCATCGACAGCCAAGCGCCCGGGGGCAGCCTGGACCTGGCGCCGGGCGGGCTGAGCCTGGAGGAGCACTCGCTGGAGCAGGTGCAGTCCATGGTGGTGGGCGAGGTGCTCAAGGACATCGAGACGGCCTGCAAGCTGCTCAACATCACGGCAGGTGAGCCCCCGCACACGGTGTCGCCGGCTCCGCGGGGAGGGGCCAGGTGGCTGGGCCAGGGGGCGGGTGGGGGCAGCCCCCACACAGCTGTGAGCCTGTGAGCGGGGACTGCATGGCTGCGACCCCGTGGGGCCAGCGGCACCAGCCCCGAGTCCGCCTCGGGAGGCGCGGACGAAGGGAATGTGAGCTCGGCACCATCTGGCCCACCACTCCCTCTCGGACCCATCGCCACGCTCCCCTCCGCCACACCTGCCTCCTCGCTGTTCCCACAACACTCACCCCGGGACCTTTGCACCGGCTGGTAGTCCCTCAACCTCCAGCACGCTGCCCCCCAATATCTACGTGGCTCACCCCTCACCGCCTTCATGTCTTACTCAAAGGGCCGCCCTGGCGGGGCCGTCCCTGACGCCTCTGCTGACGCCGCTGCTCATCCCCACCTCCGCTCCTCGGTCTGCGCGTTTCTCTCACAGCCCAGACAGCCCCGCAGGCTGCGCGTTCCGTTCTCTATCTCGTTCGCTCTCGTCCTCCCCCTCCGGCATGTTCACACCCAGGGGACATGATTGTCCCTTGTTTTGTTCACTGCCATGTCCCAGGTCCTAGGATGGCACCTTGTACCTAATCGATGCTCAGGAAACAATAACTGAACAGGAGGGAACGGCAGGAGGCCGGGCACGAGAGGGCCTGCCAGGGGCCCTGGAGCTGACGCTGTGGGTGAGGGGCTGCGGCTCTCCCGCCCTGTCCCTCCCTCACCCCTGCCGCTCTGGGGGGCCGCCCCATCTCCTTGGCCGCGGGCCCTGGCATACGAGCATCCCGCGTGGTGCTGCTTTCCCACAAGGGCCCCAGGCCTCCCTCAGGCCAGCCCCTCCTCCCAGCAGTCCTCTGGGCCACGCCCCCGACCCCCTTAGGGTAGCTCCTGCCAATGCCCCCGCCCTCCATCTGCCCATCGCCCAGACAGCCTCCAGGGCGGTCTCCCAGGGCGCTTCGCTCTCACACTGGGCTGGGGGGAGGGGCCTGCCCTCCGAACAATGGGGACAGAAACAAATGGCTTTGACCCTCAAGAGGAAAATGGGTTTATCAAGTGGGGGCAGCCCAGTCTGCAGGTCACCCAGCTGGGGCACCAGCTGAGACCAGTGTTCACTTGGAACCCCATTGTGACCATGCCCACCGCCTGGCCTCTGCCCACATGCCCTGCCAGGCTCACCCTCCCGCCGCTAAGTCCTGTAGCTGCCCCTTGCCATTCATTCATTCATTCATTCAGTAATTCATTCACTGCATGTGCACTGAGCAGCTACTATGCACCCAGCCCCTTGTTAGGGGTTGGAAAAGGAGATGGGACTCCCTGTGCCTCAGTTTCCTCATCTGTAAAATAAGCAGGGGCTGGAGGTTGGGTTATAAGATTAATTTCTGGTTGGGGTTTTCTCCGGTTCTTTTGAGGGGTTTGGGGAAGGCAAAGGCAGCTAGGGAAGGAGCTCCCCAAAAGGCCCTTTGGAGGGCTGGAGGTGTCTGGAGAACCCAAGATCTGGATGACGTGGGAGGCACAGAAGTCCCTCCCTCTCACCCCACACTCTTCCTGGGGACCCCCTCCACGGGGCCCCTAAGAGGGCCTTCCTGTCCTGCCCGCCCCTCCCCCGCCCCTCCCCGGAGTTCATGGCTCTGGGCCACAAGCTCCCCGCTCCCCAGGCGCGCCAGCCGGGCACAGGGGCCACGTTCCCATAGTGCCCTCACTGGGCTGAGGGAGTGTCTCTTGCCCAGACCCCGTGGACTGGAGTCCAGGCAACGTGCAGAAGTGGCTGCTGTGGACGGAGCACCAGTACCGGCTGCCCCCGGTGGGCAAGGCCTTCCAGGAGCTGGGCGGCCAGGAGCTGTGCGCCATGTCGGAGGAGCAGTTCCGCCAGCGCTCACCACTCAGCGGGGAGGTGCTGCACGCCCACCTGGACATCTGGAAGTCAGGTGGGACACGGTGTGGGCGGAGCAGCCTCGGGGACACCCGGCGCGGACTCTTAGGCCAGGATGCCCGGGGCTCTGCTCTGGATCCAGCCCCGAGTGCCGCTGCCTCTCAGAGCCCCCGTCCCCCCCCCCCACCACCACCACCCCTGGCCCTTGGCCCTGGCCAGGCCCACAGACTGAGGACAGAGCAGCGCAAAGTGGGAGGGAGAAGTTAGACCGAGAGGACATGAGGCATCGTGCCGATGGACGGTCGGTGCTATGAAGCCCTTAAAAAATATATATTTTTTTAATTGATTCCAGAGAAGAAGGGAGAGGGGGAAAAGGAGACAGAAACATCAATGAGAGAGAATCATTGATCAGCTGCCTCCTGCACGCGCCCCCCCCCCCCCCCCCCCCGGGGATTGAGCCTGCAACCAGAGCATGTGCCTTGATTGGGAATCAAACTGTGACCTCCTGTGCAGAGGTCAAAGCTCGACTCCTGAGCCATGCCGGCCGGGCCTTCCTTGTCCCTTTAAATTCTTATTCGCTTGTTAGTTGTTTTTCACTGAAGAAGTAATGAGGGAATAACGGTATGCACTTTTTAGAAGGCCATAGTAATAGTATATCATAAAAGGTAATTCTCCCTCCCACTCCCGACCCCAGCTTCCCTAGCCCCCTCCCTGGGGACACCCACTTTCCCAGTTTCTTGGGTATCGGGACAGGGGAAGTCTGTGCAGATACACGCCAATACATGCACATAGATTTTACCCTTTTGAACACGAACAGTGTCAGCGTGTGCACTGTTCTGTACTCGGCATGTACCTGCAGCTTGTTCCCATCGGGATCCATTCAGCTGCCCTATTCTTCCTCAAGGCTGCATGCTAGCCCCTCTCCTCTCCTGGGGCCCCACCGTGTGCCCTGCGCAGAGCCACCTGCTTTGGAGGCAGCGCTTGCTCCGTGGGTCAAGGCCCCAGACCTCAGGGGCCGGATGAATAAGGGAAATGACCTCCTCACACAACCGTCAGAGCCCAGTGCTGCCCACCCGGCTGCTTGCCAGTGACAGCGAGGGGCAGTGGTCAGTGCCAGGCTGAGTGCCAGTGGTGATGTGGGTGGAAACGGCTGGGACATGGGGGATCGGGGTGGGGGCAGTGGGGTGCAGAGAGCAGGAGCGTGGCAGTGCGGGGGGGACCTGGCAGCTGGAAGGTAGTGGTGTTGATTATGCCGGACACTGAGCAAGGTGCTGTGCAGACTTCATCACCCACGATCCTTGCAAGATCCGGGAGTGGGTGTCCGGACCCCATTTCACAGATGAGCGAGGCAGGCTGCCCCTGGGCTCCTTAGGCCCCTCCCAGCTCTGAAGCCCCAACTCCCTTCCCGGAAGCAGGTCCAGACTGCAGGAGGGCGGGGGCCACCGGGACATGGGCCAGAGGGGCCTCTGGGCCCACAGCCCACCACATGCCCTTCTGGCCTCCAGCCCTGTGGGTCCCAACCGCCTCTCCTTGTCCCGCAGCGGCCTGGATGAAAGAGAGGGCCTCCTCCGGAGCCGTCCACTTCTGCGGTGAGCGGGCCGGGCGGGAGGGGCTGGGCCCGAGGGCTGGGGTTGAGGGGTGGCGGCCAGGGAAGCGGGGGTGCCGCAGGTCCCCCCTCACCTCCACCCTCCCTGCCACTCAGCCTCGACCAGCGAGGAGAGCTGGACGGACAGCGAAGTGGACTCGTCCTGCTCCGGGCAGCCCATTCACCTGTGGCAGTTCCTCAAGGAGCTGCTGCTGAAGCCCCACAGCTACGGCCGCTTCATCCGGTGGCTCAACAAGGAGAAGGGTGAGCGGCCTGCGCGGCGAGGGCGCTGAGGGTGGGAGGCTGGCCCGACGAGGGCGCTGAGGGCGCTGAGGGTGGGGGCTGGCGGGACGAGGGCGCTGAGGGCAGGGGCTGGCGGGGCGAGGGCGCTGAGGGCAGGGGCTGGGGCGCCAAGAGCGCTGAGGGCAGGGGCTGCCTGGTTCCCCAGCCTGGGCCCCGGGAGGAGGGGGACAGGGCAGAGGGGTGCAGCTGGCCGCCCCCGCCCCTGCCCATGCCCTGAATGCCAGATAGCCGTTGTCACTGGACCTGCTCAGGGCCTGGGTCAGTGTGTGCCCGTGTCTGTCTGCCACCCGCCAAGCCCAGGGCCTGGGTCAGAGCAGGCGCTTGAGCTTCTGCTGAGAATGAGACACAGTCTTTGCCCTCAAAACGTCACAGTTTCACAGGGAGGCTGACGGTGCCCGGTGAGCAATGCCATGTCAGCCACGTGTGTAAGATCAGGTTCTGGAGCAGCCACATTCAAACACATTCTGAACAGGCGAAATCCACTTTAATATGACTTTCATTTAACGCAATGTCATACATGATCATTTCAACATACAACCGACGTGAACTGTATTAATGAGACATCTCACTAAGTCTTTAGGAACGGACGTGTACGTTACACTGACAGCACATCCCAAAGTTTGGAGCTGGCACATTTCAAGTGCTCAAGAGCAACCTGTGGCTAGTGGCTACCATGCTGGACAGCGCAGGCTACATGGTGCGTTTGTGTGTGCGCGTGCATGTGTGCATGCGTGTGTGCATGAGAGAGAGAGAGAGAGAGAGAGAGAGAGAGAGTGTGTGTGTGTGTGTGTGTGTGTGTGTATGTGTGTATGTGTGTGCGTTGGCAAAGGCTCAGAGCCAAGAAACCTGGATTCGGGGCCGTTTGTCATTAGTAGTGATGGTGCCTGGACCTCAGTCTTCAGCTTCCCTCACCCAGCACACCTCCAGGGCCATGCTGGCTTCGTTGACGTTACAAAGAATGACTGTGTCCTGAGGGTTCAGGGAGGACTCAGCTGCACCCCGTCCTGAGGGCCCTACAGTCTTGTGTGGGAGCCGCAGTGACAGGAGCTGGTGTGCAGAGCATGTTGAGCTGTAACAGAACCGTGGGGGCCGTTGTGCCCAGTCCAGGAGGACTTCCTGGAGGAGGGGACTCGGCTGAGTGGAGGCTGAGAAGGAGCTAGAGGGGTGGGAGGGAAGTCCAGCACAGGTGTGATGCCGCTGCGTGTGCATTTCAGGCTGAGAGGGAGGTAGCTGCTCTGTGGTCCCCCGGGCCTCGGGAGCCGGGGAGCCGGGGAGCCGGTCCCACGGCAGAGAGCGGGGAGGGGTGATCTGGGCGAGCTGCCTGAAGCGGGCATGCTGACCTGGGCCAGTGGGAGGGTAGAATGAGGACGGGGAGTGATAACAATGGAATAGTTCTGCCGGAGGGGCACGTCCTGGCTCCACTCGGTCAGCGCGCAGCCCTCTCCTCTCTCTCCTCTTTCTCCTCTCCTCTCCTCTCTCTCCTCTCCTCTCCTCTCCCCACCCCTCCCCTCTCCTCTCTCTCCTCTTTCTCCTCTCCTCTCCCTCCTCTCCTCTCCTCTCCTCTCCCCACCCTCCCCTCTCCTCTCTCCCTCTCTCTCCTCTTTCTCCTCTCCCGCCTCTCCTCTCCTCTCCCCACCCCTCTCCTCTTTCTCCTCTCCCTCCTCTCCTCTCCTCTCCCCACCCCTCCCCTCTCCTCTCTCCTCTCCCCTCCCCTCCCCTCCCCTCTCCCGCTCCTCTCCTCTCCGTCCTCGCCTCCCGCTCCTCGCTCTCCTCCCCTCACCTCCCTCTCCTCTCCTCTCCTCCCTCTCTCCTCCTCTCCTGCCTCTCCCTCCTCTTTCTCCTCTCCTTCCTCTCTCTCCGCTCCTCCCCTCCCCTCCCCGCCCCTCTTCTTCCCCTCTCCTCTCCTCTCCGTCTCCTCTCCTCTCTCTCTTCCCCCGCGTTCGGTCCTCTCTCCTCTCCCTTGCGCCTCTCCTCGCCGCTCTCGCCTCTCCTCTCCGCTATCCCGCCCTCTCCTCTCTCAGCCTCGCCCCACCCCTTCCCCCTCTCTCTCCATCTCTCCTCGTTCTCGCTCCCTCTCCTCTCCTCTCCTCTCTCTCCCCTCCCCTCCCTCCTTCCCTCCCCTCCCCTCCCCTCCTCTCCTCTCCTCCGCAGAGAAAGGGGCTCAGGCTGCTTCGAAGGCAGACAGGGCAGGGCCAGGCGCAAACCCTGGTCGGCCCGCTCCACGCCCACTCTGCACCCCTCTCCTGGGTGCCAGCGGGGCCCCGTGGGCTGGTGTCTGGGAACCGCAAAGAGGTCTCCCAGGCTCGGGACCCGCAGGTGGCAGGGGTGGCATGGCTGGGCGATGGGCTGGGGTGACGGGCCAATGAGCTGTGGGCACCATCACAGCTGCGCTGGGTTTCTGTGTAAGGTGTGCACACCCCATAATAGGAGCAGAGGCTGGCAAGGGCCAGGCCCTCGGGCCCCACACAACCCGCCAGGCTGCGCAGGCTCTCCCTGCCCTGGGGCTCATGACCCCAGAGATCAGTGGCCCCCACTGGCCTGTGGCGCGCTCCTCGCTCCTCCTTCGTGTTTCTTTAGCCCCCAGCACGCCCGGGAGCAGGCACTGCGGCCCCCACGGCCGGCCGCACCCCGCGGACCCGGCTTTCTGAGAAACTGACGCTGGTCTTGGTCTCCTCCCTCTGCCTTGCTCCGCTGGCCCCTCTGGCCCCCCTGCTCCCCAGGCATCTTCAAAATTGAGGACTCCGCCCAGGTGGCCCGGCTGTGGGGCATCCGGAAGAACCGGCCCGCCATGAACTACGACAAGCTGAGCCGCTCCATCCGCCAGTATTACAAGAAGGGCATCATCCGGAAGCCGGACATCTCCCAGCGCCTCGTCTACCAGTTCGTGCACCCCATCTGAGGCCGGGCCAGCCTCCCGCCGGCCGGCCCGCCCGGCCAGCGGACCCCCCGGGGAGAGGGAGCCTGCTGGCATTCCGAGTCCAAGGTCAGGGAGGGGAGGGCCCCTGCTCCCAGAGTGCAGTGAGCTCTCTGCCCCCCAGGCCCCCTGTGCCGGTGCCCAGCCATGACAGGACAGAGGGCACCGGGCTGTCCCCCGTGTTCACAGCTCCCCAGGGAAGGCGCTCCCTGCCTGAGCCCAGCACTCCCAGAGCAGACCTGACAGAATGGCAATGACTTGTCCAAGGCCACTCACAGTCCCGTGCTCTCTGCCACTCAGGCCCGGCATGGTGCTGGGGAGCCGGAGGGGCCCCTGGGAATGGCTAATAAAGATACCAGAAAACTGACGTGCCCCCGTGTGTGTGCAGTGAGTGATGGCACAGCCATCAACTCTCAAAGTTCCGGTCACAGGGGCCTGAGGCTGTCAAGGCAGGCTTCCTGGGGGAGGTGGCTTTGAGCTGAGCCCGAAAGGAAAGTAGAAGCTGTGGAGAGTGGCAGGGAGTCCTCGAGGCCGAGAAGAGGCTCGATGGGCCTCGTCTCCCCAGCCCTGGTGTGGGCTGAAAGGAGGGAGGGGCTGTGGAGGCTGCACTTGGGGCTGAGAAGGCAGGTGCTTGCTGCCTGAGGTGGGCCAGGGCCATCCCTCCTGCAAGGGGGGCCAGAACCTCTATCTTTGCTTGGCCAACTGCAGGGGCCAGGGTTCGGGGGGCGTGCACAGAGGGGGCGCTTCAGCCCCTGGTGGGATGCTGGGTCTGCAGCACAGGGTGGGAGGGAGGTAGGCCTAGTGGAGGGTCCTCTCTCCTGAAGAGCGAGGCCACAGACCTGTCATGTCCTCTTTGAAGCTGTGAGCCTTGCCAGTGGGTGCAGAGGTGGGTGTGATGGGAAAGGGTGTGGCCAGTGTGGGTGAGTGTATGTGTGTGTGAGTGTGGGTGAGTGTGTGTGTGTGTGTGTGAGTGTGTGTGTGTGTGTGAGTGTGTGTGTGTGTGTGTGTGTGTGTGTGAGTGTGTGTGTGTGTGCGCGCGCGCGCGCGCGCGCGCGCGCGTGCTGGAGGTGGGACCCACTGCCCACTCTCCTGGGCAAAGCTGCTCGTTCACTTCCTCCTGCTTCTCTCGCATTTGTTCACCGAGCTCAGGAGTCCTGCGGGCTATGTGCTTCCACTGCTTTTTTTTTTTTTTTGTCATTGAACTTCCCCCCAAATTAGGGGTTAACTCGCCATTCTTCAGATGATGAAACTGAGGCTCAGAGCAGTTGCCTTGCTCACACCCAGCCAATCGGCTGCAGAAACAGGCGCTGTGCCCCCCAGGACGGGGGTCTGTGCCTCAGGCCTGGTCAGCACCCGAGGCCCCGAAACACAGCTCTGAGGGCAGGCTGCGGGAGCCAGCGGGAGCGGCCAGCGCTGCCCAGGCGCCGCGGGCTGAATGCTGCCCTGTACTGCCGCCTTCTGCCCTCAGCAACTTCCTTGTCTTCAGAAGAGTTTCCTCCAGGCAGGGAGCAAACAGCTCCTTGGCCTCTGCGGCTGGGCCTGGACCTGGAGAAGGGCCGCAAGCCTGTGCCCCGGGCCCTGCTGGCTGCCCACCATCCCGCCTGGGTGCTCCCTGACCCTCCTCGGGCCCCGCATCCAGGGCTCCCACCGCTGCCTGGAGCGGCCTGGGCACATGAGCCAAGGCGACCATTTGTCTCCCTGTGAAGAGTCCGCCATTTGGCTAAAACCAGGCCCTTGTCCTTGGCGGTGGGTTTGGGGGAGACGCTATGTGGTGGAGAAGTGATTCAACCCCCATCTTGACCTTTTCCCCCTGCGCCGAGCACACCGAGGCTTGGGAAAGCGGGCCGGGGGGGGGGGGGGGGGTAGTACATTTGCCTTGAAAATGGGGTCTGTGTCGGTGCCCTGACAGGCTGCTGGGACAGAGGAGACATCCAACCAGACGGGGGCAGGGGGAGGGAGAAGGGATGGGGGAAGCAGAGGCCCGGTACGGGAGAGGGGGGTAGGGGAGTGGGGAGACACGGAGAGCTGGTAGTGGCACTGGGACCCCTGCCCTGCTCAGAGGAGACCCAGCAGGGGGTGGAGGCTGGAGCAGGGGCTGAGGCCGGCCTGGGCCTGGCAGAACCGAGCTCAGAGCTCCAGGCATGCCCACTCCCCTGAGAAGCCCCTCAGGAGGAGCCCTAAGGGGGGGGGGGCACACAGACATGGTGTCAGGGTCAGGCAGGCACAGGGACGTGTGGCACCCGCAGGGAGCCTGGGACTGGACCACCAGGAACCACTGGCCACAGCCATCACTTTTACTTTTCATTTATTTATTTTTGCTATGGCCGCTGGGAATGTGGAGATGAGGACATTTCAAGGGGCAGGTTTTCATCTATAGCAGCTTGGTCTGCAGGTGTCAGAGCCGATCTCTACCCAGAATGACTAAGTGCAGAGAGCGAGAACACACAATCTGGCCTCCGGGCCTCTTGCCATCAGCGGAATGGCCCTGATCATAGAGTGCTGTGGTCAGGATGCTTTTGGCCACAAATAATAGAATTTCTCTCTCTCAGAGGCTGAAAAAAATATATAATAAATATAATCGATACTAATCTATACTAATAAAAGGATAAGATGCTAATTAGATGACCATCCAGACATCCTTCCTGACAAAGCTAGGCTTGGACGAAGCCGCCCGCCCACTGTGCCAGCACCTGCAGCTGCGGACTGGGAGAGGGCAAAGCCACCCACCCACTGGGTCCTGGGTGCCTGCAGCTGGCCAGAGGAGGGAATCCTGGGTCCTGAGTGCAGGGCCGAGGCAGAGGTGGTTAGGGGCAATCAAGTCTGCAGGGGAGCGGTTAGGGGTGATCAGGCAGGCAGGCAGGCAGGCAAGCAGTTAGGAGCCAGTGGTCCCAGATTGTGAGAGGCATGTCCAACTGACAGATTAGGCATCCCCCAAGGGGCCCCAGATTAGAGCAGGTGCAGGCTGGGCTGAGGGAACTCCCACCCCACCCCCACCCCTGCATGAATTTTGTGCACTGGGCCTCTAGTATAATAATAAAACAACTAACTAGAGGCCCATTGCATGACATTGGTGCACTGCAGGGTGGGTCCTTCAGCCTGGCCTATGCCCTTTCGCAATCCAGGAGCCCTTGAGGGAGTCAGACTGATGACTTAGGCCCATTCCCCAGGGGAAGAGGGCCTAAGCTGGCAGTCAAACATCCTCAGCACTGCCATGGAGGCGGGAGAGGCTCCCACCACCACTGCTGTCTGGTCCGCTGTCAGCCCGGCTTCTGGCTGAGCGGAGCTCCCCCTGTGGGAGCACACTGACCACCAGGGGGCACCTCCTGTGTTGTCCGCCCCCTGATGGTCAGTGCACATCATAGAGACCGGTTGTTCTGCTGTTCGGTCGATTTGCATATTACCCTTTTATTATATGGATATAAATAACTGATTTTATTTTTAAAAATGTTTATTGTTGAAAGTATTACATATATCCCTTTTCCCCATTGACCCCTTTTAGCCTGCCCCTAACCCCGCCTCAGGCCTTCACCAACCTACTGTCTGCGTCCATGGGTTATGCATCTATGCACAAAAGCTCTTTGGTTGATCTCTTCCCACCTCTCACCCTCCCCTGCCTTCCCTCTGAGATTCCACAATCTGCTGGTAATCACTTTTAGAATTTTGCTTTAAAACTTGAAATTGTTACTCTGACCGGGTAGTTCAGGCGTTTGGTGTCGTCCATACACCAAAAGTTTTGGGTTTGATTCCCCTCAGGGCACACATCTAGGTTTCAGGTTGGGGAATGTACAGGAAGCAACCAATCTCTAACGGCTACTCAGGAGCCTCACACATAACTGTTCCCGCACAGACAGGACCCGGGCCCTGGAAGGTGAAGGGCCCAGCCCTCAGTCCTCAGCCCATTGGTGGGCAGCCGGGCACCCCCCTCCCCCTGACATCCAACCACAGGCCTCGAAAGACACAGGCAGGACTCCAGATCACAACACCCAGCCAGGTTGACACAGTTCTGGTTTTATCCACAGTCATACAATCACAACTTATATATATATACAGATATATTTGTATTTATATACCTTTAAATTACACAGTCATGTACAAAACAGGTGCATTGCTGAGACCACAGCACTCCTCGGAGTGTCACAAGTGTCGGACTAATGAAGTCAGGAGCCGGGTGGCAGACTGGCGGGCAGCCGCGGCCTCCTGCAGAGCCAGGCTGAGACGTGGGCGACTTGGGATGAAACACATTACTGGCTGAGCCCAGGGCGGGCGCTGCAGCTACAGGAGCTGGTGGGCACAGTGAGGGGCTGGTGCCCACGCGGAGTTGGGGGCCCCGATACCAGCACTAATGGGGGGGCGCGGGGGTCAGGCCCGGGGGCTCAGGGGTCTCTTCCACGTGAGATGCTCCACTCCGGGCCTGAGGAACCTGGGACCGACCGCTCGGAAGGAATGGGGCTTTGAGTCCCTGCCGGGGAGTGGGCAGCTGGAGTGCTGAGGGGACAGCAGGGCAGCGCCCCTCCCCAGGTGCGGGGAAGCTGCTGGCACAGAGAGGGGGAGCCCAGGCCCCGAGGTGCAAAGGTGGCAGCTTCCTGACTTCCAGGGGTAGGTGGTGAAGGCAGAGGCCCCCACCAGCTCCTGCCTGGAGCCGCGGAGGGGCTGTGTTCTGGGGCTGGGAGGGCTGAGGGGTCTGAGACACACCTCAGGACGGAACAGAGGCTCAGAGAGCAGTGACAAGAAAGGGGGTGCTGTGGGGGGCTAGTTTGCCTGTCCCTAGGGGTGCTATTGTCCCCACCGCCTCCCTGGCCCCGAGGGAGGCCTGCCCCAGCTCAGGCCTCTGTGCTCACACGGACAGGGGCAGCTGAGGCTGGATCTGACCGGACAGGGGCTGTGGGGAGAAGCGAGCGAGGAGCGAAAGGCTGAGGGGTGACAGCGGGGCTGGGGTCTCACTGTCTTCAGCCAGAGGCCCAGGGACGGTGCTGTGGGAGTGGGGGGTCTGCAGTCTGAGGCCCAGAGGGCTCCCCGGTTCCGCAGGCAGTCTCCGGCCTCGCCCCGGCTCTGGGAGACGCCCTAGCCAGGCCCTCCTCTGGGCCTTCCCTGCCCTGGCCTGCTCCCCCAGCAGTGACCTGCTCCCCCAGCACCACTCCTTCACAGCCACAGCCACAGGCCTGCTCCTCACCCCCAACTCCTGGGCTGAGACCCCGGCTCGGAGAGATGGCGGGGGGGGGGGGGGGGGCGGGCTGTGAGTGTGGGGACAGGACAAGGAGGAGGACTGGGTGACTGCCCCGCTGCTAGGCCAGGCTTCTCCCTCCCGCCACCCCCTGCCTCTTCTGTTGCCTGCAGCCTTTCCCGGAGGCTCCCAGGCTGGAAGCTCCCAGGGGCTGCGGTGTCGCCCCCTGCAGGCCAGAGAAGGGGAGTGGACTGGGGGGCCCCAAGGCTCGGTCTGAAGGCTGGCTGAACCCCGTGAGGCTCTGGTTTTAGATGAGTGTGCAGGGAGGGTGAGCGAGATGCCCCTCCCGGGAAACGGGAGGAAGCTGCTACTGTTGTGGCTCTGCCCTGGGCTTTGCACCTCACAGCTCCCTCCCCCCCCCCCCCCTGCTGCCTGAGGACTTGGGATGGGGTTTGTGTCTCTGCAAATGCTGAAGAGGGTGCTCTGCGGGATGGACAGCTGGGAAGGAAGGCCCAGTAGAGTCCTGGTCCCTCAGCTGAGCCTGGTGCTGGAAGGACCAAGGGCCTGCTCCCCTTCATTCCTGCACCCCATGACACTGTCACCACCTCCAGCTCTGCCCTCTTCACACGGACACCGGGACACCTCTGTGGGCGAGGGGTGACCAGCCTCCGCCGGTGCCACCAGTCCTGGAGTGAGACCGGGCGGGGCACTCCCCAGGGCACAGCGGAAGACTAAACACTGGGCAGCCCCTTGTCTGGGGCTGGAGCGGAGCCTCCGAGAGAGAGAGAGAGAGAGAGAGAGAGAGAGAGAGAGAGAGAGAGAGAGAAAGAGAGAGAGAGAGAGAGCGCGCGCAGACTTGGGTGGTGGGGAAGGAGGCAGGTGGGGCTGGAGGGGGAGGTCGGAACCCTCCCAGGAAGCAGCGGGACAGGGTCTAGCAGCCTGGGGTGGGGCAGGGACGCCTGACAGGAGGGTCCAGGAGGCATCTCTGAGCTCAGGAGCCTCTGGTGGGACCGGAAGCATGGACATTGTGATGTCTCTGCTGGGCCAAGCCCGGAGACCCCCATCTGCCCAGGGGCCGCCCCCCAGTCCCACCAGCCTGGTCTCCTGGCAGTCCTGCAGATGCTCCGTCTCTTCATATTTTTTGTTTTGTTCTGTTTTGACTTTTAAAAAAATAAAAGCTTGATCGTAAAATATGTCTGGAACTCTATGGCAAGGGGAGGTGACAAGAGTGGGAAGGAAGGGGGGGGGGAGTGAGGGCTGTGTTGGGGGAGCAGGGCAGCTAGATGGCCTCCACGTAGTTGGCGGGATAGAGGCCAAACTGCCCGCTGTCCAGCCGCCCGCGGCACCAGCCCTGCTCGTCCTCCTCGCCCAGCTTGGTGAGCTCATCGCCTGGGAAGGGGACACGGAGGAGCTCCTTGGCAGGGGCTCGGGGAGGCCGTCCCTCCGTCCCACGCTGCTAGGGAGCCCCCCATACTTTGATGCTGGCTGACCCCAAACCCTCCCTCAGTATGGCCCCAAAGCCTGGCCCCTCCAGCTTCACTTCCCAGCTCAGTAGTCAGAGACCCCAATCCAGGTCCAGCCTAACCCCCAACTCTGGGCCGGGTCATCCAGGGACCACTCTCAGGCCCGGGGCTGAGGTCGCACTCCAGGCCCCGCCCGCCCAGCGCAAGGCCACGCCCACACAGCATTCGCCACCAATCCCCGCGCGCCCTGCCCGCCGGCCCCGCCCCGCCGGCCCCGCCCCTCGTACCGGCCTTGAAGCTGAGCTCGTCCTGCTCCTGGCCGTCGTAGTCGTAGAGGGCCCGCACGCGCACGCCCTTGGCGTCGTCCTCGAAGGGGTTGGCGCCCCCATTGGCCTCACTGCCCCCAAACGCGTTCCCGCTCTCATCGTCCGACCACTCGGTGACGTAGGGCTGGCCCCGGTCATAGCTGCTGACGCTGAGAAGCAGAGGGAGGACCCGGCCTGAATTGCCCCTCCTGTCCCCAGCTCTGCCCCTCTGCCCAGCCAGAGCGCTGCGCCACAGCTCATCAAGGCTGGAGCTGGGGTGGCTTTGCAGGAGGGGTCCTGACCCAGTGACCCTCACTGGCCGCTCTTTAAACATAGGGGAGACAAGACTAGCGGCATTGTTACTGAGCCTTAGAGTGAGGGGTGCCGAAGGGACCCCAGAGACATCTGGCTCCTCGTGAGAGGGCAGTACAAGCTATTGGTCAAGAGCGATGGTTCTGGAGCCAGACTTTGGGCCCCATATCCTGGCTCTGAGGCTAGGAACCCGCTGTGTGACCTCCCGCAACCACTTAGCTCCTCTGGGTATCAGTTCCTCCGTCTGTAAAATGGGAATATTTACACACTCCTCAGAATGCCGCAGGCTTCAGTGAGTTAACGTATGAAATGCTTGGGACAGTCCCGGACACGCAGCAGGTGCTCACAAAGGATGAGCTATCGCTGTTTTTGAAAGGAGAACGAGGTTGCCGTGACTTCGGCCATTTCTTGTGTCTTGCGGTAAAACTCAGAGAGATTCCTGGCCTGTAGGAAGCTCCACGGGAGACACTCACCTGCCTCGGTCGCCGGCCTGGGACGCGGACTCCAGCACCCCCGTGGCGTTGGTCAGCGCCGCCCCCTCGGCCTTCTTGGGCTTCTCCTTCTTGGCGGCGGCGTGAGGGAGGTCTGGGTTCCACTCCTGGTGGGCGCCAGGGGGCAGTCAGGCTGGGCCATCGCCCCGAGGCCCCTCCGGCCTCTGCAGACTCCTTCCGCGGCCCCACACGCCCTTACCTCAAACTGGGGCCAGTTCATGGGCATGCCGGGGCCGCTGGTGCTGCGGAACCACCGCAGGTCCTCCTGCGCGTCCGCCGCCCGGATGACCTGCTCCAGCTCCCGGTACACGTGGACGTAGCTGTGCACAGGAGCGGGCGGAGGGGAGCAGGATGCACATGGCCTCTCATCCTCGGTGAGGGCAGGCGCCCGCTCAGGGGTCAGGCAGGCTTCCCCGGGGCCCTCTCCGTGTGGGCATGCCCGGTGGACACCCTTCGCCGCCCCCACCTCAGCCACTCACCCGTCCGCCCACGCCTGTTTCCTGAGCACCCGGAGTGCACCGGCTTGCACCAGGCGGCCGCTGTGTGTGCAGCCTCTTCTCTCTCAGCCCCCGCAGCCCAGCCCTGCCCTTCCTGTCCCCGTAACGCGGGCCCGGGATGCCTCGCCCCCCGGCTCCGCCCTCCAGGCTGTGCCTGAGCCACGGAGCCGCCCAGCCAGCTACCTGCTGCTCTCGGCCAGGTTGAGGTGGCGTTTGATGTCCAGCAGCACCTCCTTGAGGAACACCAGCCGCTTCTCCTCAAACTGCTGGCACTGCTCGAACACCTGCTCCATGCCCTCCATGTACTGCGGGGTGGTCTTGCCCACCTCATCCAGCACCTTCTCGTACTTCTCCTGCGTCTGGAGGCACCGGGACACGGGGAGGGTGAGGCCCAGGCCCGCGGCGGCCAGCCCTGCCCACCCCACCGGCCCTCTGCGCCCGGCCCGGCAGCACCTTCTGCACGTCCTGCTTGCACTTGTCCACTTTGTCCTGCAGCTTCTTCTGCTGCTCGGGCGTGACCGACTGCTCCGACTTGCTGTTCATCTCCCGGGTCACGGCCAGCTTCTCCTCCTTGCAGGCCAGGTGGTAGGCCTTCTTGGCTGCCTCCAGCTGTGGGGAAGCAGAACGGGCGGCAGGCCTCCTACTGGTGAGCAGGAGCAAGCGCGGGCACTCGCCAGCCCTCCCACCTGCCCACGCTGCCAGGGGCCGTGTGCACAGTCTTCAGAGGCAGGAGGGGTGCAGGCCCTGGCTCCCGGTATGGGGAGCAGTGCCCCCCTGTGGAGGTCTCCCTGCAGGGCACAGCCTGCTGCCTCGGACACACGCCTGGAGAGCACCGTGGTGCCTGCCGTGTAGGCCTGCGCCCCCTGGCACAGTCCCATCTGCGGACACCTCCCCCGATCAGACTGGCGCTCTGAGCTCAGCTGCCCACCCCCGCCCCCTCTGCAGCACTGCCCCGGGCACCTCCTTCATCTTCTTGGCCCAGGGCTTCTGGGCCTTGCGGAAGCCGTCCTCAGCCTCCTTGGTCTCCTTGAAGCCGCCCATGATCTGCTTGTGGTAGGCGTCCTTCTGCCAGTTCTTGACCTTCTCCAGGTCCTCGTTGAGCAGGCTGTTCTTCACCTCCTGGTGCAGCTCGCTCACCTTATCCGCCTCCGTCATGATGGCCCCCCAGGCCCGCTCCAGGCTGCCGTACTGCGGGCCTGAGGAGACGGCCGTGGGGTCCGAGGCCTTCATGGCCCCCCGCCTAGAGGCCCCCTCGCACCCCCCCTCCCTCTCCCTACAGTTTTCCTCATCCTCCAGGGCCAGGGTACAGCCACTTCCTCCAGAAAGGCTTGTCTGATTGCTACACACTGAATTGCCCTCACTGAATTCTTCACACCTGCCTCTCCGTCTATACCCTATCTCCCCTGTCAGCTTGTGAGCCCCAGGCTGGGGGGGGGGGGGGGGGAGCCTCAACCCTGTGTGCTCTCACAAGCCCAGCACAGCACCAGGCACACAGTAGGTGCACCAGGCACACAGTAGGTGCTCCAGGAATGTTGGCTAAATGCAAAACTGAAGAACCAACTGTGACAGGTCCCAGGAGGCTCCTGGGACTGGACATCCCACGGCCTGTTTCTCTGTGCACTGGCATCGCTGCTGTGCCAGGCGCTGTCCTGGGCAGCACAGGCCCAGCCCTGGCCTCATGGGATTGGGTCTAGTGGAAGAGAAAACCTTACTCATATATGTAAGCTTCCACTGGAAGCTGTTCTAGATTAAAGGAACCGAGTGACATGACATCTAAACGCAGTATCTGATGCTGAATTGGACCCTGGACCCGCAAACAATTGCCATAATAAAATATGCATATGGGCCAGATTAGATGTCCTGAATGTGATAGCAGGACTGTGGCGACATACGTGAATGTTCTTATTCTTAGGAGATACATGGAGAATTTAGGGTGAAGGGAATGTAGTTCTATTGAAACATTCCAATTGAAATGTTTAAAAAATATGCATATAAATAGGGGTAAAACCAGTGTGGTTAAAATGTCAACTGGTGAGTCTGGGTGAAGGGAATGTAGTTCTATTCTTGTAACTTTTCTCTGAGTTAAAATTATTTTAAAATAAAAAGTTTGGGGATTTGTTTGTTTTATATCCAAACAAGTGAAGTTGAAGGGCAGGGAGCCCTGGGGGGTCAGGGAGGGGAGGAGGGCAGGTGTGGGGGCAGTTCCCGCTAAGGCCCTGCTGCTGGAGGCTGCAGGTGCATCCGGGTGGCCGGGTGCTCCCCGGATCCAGACAGTGGGGTTAGGGTCTGGGCAGTGCCCAGGGGATGGGCACGGGGCGGGGGGAGGGGGGCAGCACCTTTCTCGATGAGCTGGCGCCAGCGCTTGGCCCAGTCGGTGAGCTGCTGCGCGTAGGCCTTCTCGATCTTGGCGCGCTCCTGCACGCAGCTCATCAGGTCGTTGCACAGGCGGTGCCCGTCATCGATGCGCTTCACTGTCCGCTTGTAGTTCCCCACCTGGCGGCGAGCGGCGCGCATGACACCCAGGGTTCCCCGCCTCCCCGCCTCCCCCCCCGCCCCCCCGCCCGCCCTGGCCGCCGCGTCCTGCAGGGGGCGCCCGCCATCACCATCCCAGGGCGCCTTGGGACCCCTGGCTTGTCCAGGACGTGGCACCCCTCCTCACACCCCTGTCTATACACTCCCTGCTCTCACTTAAAACACAGTTTTGTCGCTGCCACAAAATGCAAGAGGTTTTTTATAATTTGGACTTGGGCCAGATGAATTATTCATTTCATTCTTATGAGCTAAATCTATTTATATAGAGTCAGAAGCACTGAGTTGAGCTGCAACTTCTTGACATAATATTATGTTGTGTAGACATCTCATTAAACACTTATTAATTTAGGTTTGGCGGTTTTCACTTTGGGTTCCATAAGCCAGTAAAAAAAAACACTTTCTGGGTGGCAAATATTTTGGGAGGCTCTGAAACACGGGCCTGTCTCCACTTCTGTGCTGCTGTGGGGCTCCCCAAACTCACTCCATTTCCCTGGGACCAGTGCTCCTTCCGCCTCTGCTCACCCCACGGGGGGATTGGGGGGGGGGGGACAGGGAGCAGCTGGGAAGGCGGTGTGCCCATGGGAAGTGCAGGCCCCTGAGCCGGCGCCCAGAGCAGAGGACAGGGGGCCTGTTCCGCACCATGAAATACCAGGGGAGTCCCCAGGGGGCTGTGGGCAGGGTGCTCTGGCCTCGGGGGGTGGTCATCGTAGCCTGCTGGACACGGAGGGCTCTGCAGAGCCCGAGGGGCTGGGGGCAAGGCCTGAGGCGTGAGGTGGTTAGAGCTGGGCCTCCACAGCCAGGCTACGCTGTCTGGTCCCCAGGGCCCGGGAGTGTCAAAGCCTCACCTCCCAGAAGCTGTCGGTGGAATCCTCCGGAGCCAGGGAGGCCTCGTCGTAGGAGCCGGACATGGTGTGGCCGTGGCAGGATGGACAGGCGGGGAGCGGCGGTCAGCAGGCTGGGCTGCTCATGCGCTGGGGGGAGAGATCCTGGAGATGAGGGGCGTGTCAACAGGCCCCACTCCAGGCCCTGCCCCAACTTGCCGTGGGGATGGGGGCTCCCCAGGCAAAGCCTTGCATTGGGATGGGACTTCCTGCCCAGGCTCACCAGCCGTCCCCAGGGTGGCCCCAGAGTCTCCTCCCCGCAGTACCCCTCCTGCCCACTCCCATCTCTCCATCTCCTTCCCCTCTCCCCCAAACCCATCCTCCAGCTCCAGTGTGGCACCTCTCTCAAAGCCTGCCCAGCCACCAGACATGGCACCTGCCGCTGCTTTGTGTTCCTGGACTCGGAGCTGAAAGTTAGCGCCACGTAATCGCGTCTTTGCTTTAAATAAACCTGTGGTTTGTTTCGTAGACACAGAGGTCTTCAAGGCCAGCAATCAGACTTACCTCTGTGCAGCCCCCTACACTCCCTCCCTCTCTTCCCCTGAAGCTGACACCCTGTAGGACCATTAGAGTTCAATGAACTGCAGCTGGCATCTCAATTTGCCCCCCTGGGCACTGTCCACCGACCCAGGCAGGTCCTTGCACCAGGCCCAAAACACCCACCTAAGCTCCCCACCAACGTAGGGCCCTGGTCCAACCCCAAAGTCCCCCCAAACTTCTACCTGGAGCCTGGACCAAGTCCCCTGGGAACAGGCTGCAGGCCCCTCCCACCTCCCGCCCAAGCCAAGCTCCTCCTCGGCTCCCTGAGCCCGAGGCCCCCCGCTGCCCTGTGCCCAGCCCCAAAGGCTGCAATGAGCTGCTCCACGTCCCTGTGAGTCCCACACAGGCAGCCAGGCCCACAGGCCAGACCGCTGCGCTCTGTGCGAGCGTCAGGCGGCTGTGTGCGGCCTGGAACTGTCGGCCGGCATCACAGCTGTCCAATCTAGGCCGCGTGCTGCCCCAGGGCGCTGCCCTGAGCCACCCCACACAGCGCTCCCTGCCACCCAGGCAAGAATGGTTCCGGTGAATGGCTCAGTCATCAGGAGCCTAGACCCAGAGCCTGGTCTCCAAAGGGACAGTGAGGCCCAGCCAGGCCTGATCCCACTACCAGCTGACAGCCTGGGCCCAGGGTCACCTCCCTGGTCCGCACTGTCACCTCAGGGACCCATGAGGACCCCTGGGGAGTGCTGCCTCTGCGAGGTTTCGCCCACCTGGGGTCCGCGGACAGCGGCACTCGCACATGAGGATCCTGGACGGGGGAGGCCCTGCCCTCTGGCCTGTCTCCCCACCTGTCCGGGGCTAGTGCTCCGGGCCCAGTCATACCCAGGGCTGCCTCCTTGCATCTCTCAGGCATTGATTTCGCTCCCCTTAGCACAATCTCACTTCCTCCCAAACTTACACCCAGTGGGGGCGGGTGGAGAGAGGGCAGCTAGAGTTCATCAAGGGACAAGAAACAAGTCTGAGGATTTTCCTTTTCATGTGGCACTTTTCACCTGCAGAGCGGTAGGTCTTCACGAGGAAAGTGCTGCATTGGACACGGAGAAGCACAAGGCAGGGACCCGTGATGAAGGACGTTCAGCCAGGTTCGGTAAGGATCCCTGGGACAGAGCCACCTAGAGCCCTCAAAGTTACATAGAACTTAGGGACCCCCCCCCCAAGTGTGCAGCTCATGGGGGGACTCCCTCCTGAAGTGAAGGTCGAGGGCACCCCTGGTAGAGGAGGAGCGACTGATAAAACCTCGGTTCCTTTCTCACCGTCACAGAGGCACACGGCCCTCAGCCAGCGCCCTGGTCCTAGGAATTCCCCTTCCAGCCAGCGGGGCGAACTGCTGCCGCCCCATCAAATTTACCGCAGGTCTGCCTGGGAAAGCCAGAGGCCGGCCACAACCCGGACGCGCCAGGCCTGGGTCAGTGAGCGGAGGCGCAGGCCGGCCGAACGCACCCTCCCAGGCCACGTGACTGAAGCCCAGGAGCGGGCGCAGAGCAGCGAGGCTGCAGGCTCCTGGCTCCGCGGGGGGTGGACATGCACACACGGAGTATTTTTGGAAGCTGGAAGAATGGGTGGCTGGCGGATGGGGTGGGAGGTTTTTCCACTGGGCTCTTTTATGCCTTTTAAATTTTGCCTTGTGTGCATAAACTGCCTGTTTCTTAAAACCCTCCAGCCTGTGCTGGAGGAGAGCAGAGGGAGTGGGCGCAGGACCGGGGGCACTTGAAGCTTGGAGGCGGGGCTGGGCAGCCAGGGCCTGGCATGTCAGGCTGGGAGGATCCCACGTCGGGCTAGGAGGAGACCACCCTCCACCTGGTCCAGACCCAGGACGGGGGCTGCTGGGTCCCTCCCAGCCGAGAGCATGTGTAATAGAAGCAGCTCTAGCCTTGGGGCCCTGCCCTGCCGCCAAACTGCTGTGTGACCTTGAGCAACGCACATGGCCTTGCTGGGTCCTGCCAGGAGATGAGGATAACCTGGCCCGACTAAGGATTAGGCGAGATGGTGAGGGCCCAGCACACACCAGCCCTGGCTGGACCGGCTCAGGGGGGCTCAGGAATACCAGTCAGGGCCGGGGAGGGACGCGGGAGGGGTGTGTGAGCCTGCAGCACCATATTGCCAGACACCCCACCCTATCTTCCCCTGCCTCTCACTCCCCGAGGCAGGTGCCATCACTGCATCTCTGAGCCAGGAACCGAGTGGCTGGTGTCGGACACGCCCTGCAGGCAAGTCAACGCACGCTTTGCTTTCCTCGACCCACTGAATGGGCTCGATGCCCATCTGACTTTTTGTGGCCTTAAAAGCCTTGTGCCATCCTATCTAATAAAGAGGGAATGTGCTAATTGACCCTCACACCATTGCAAAGATGGCAGCGCCCATAGACAATAAGAAGGGAATATGCTAATTGACTGTCACACCCTCAAAGATGGTGGCGCCCACAGCCACAAGATGGCAGTGCCCAGTCCCCAGTCCCCTCAGCCCTGCCAGGGCAGCAGGCACACAGCAAGGCGGGTATGGTTCCTTCGTTCACCTGCCTCTGGAGTCCCCCAGTCCCCTCAGCCCCCCAGACCCCCAGGGCTGGCCTGAGATGCAGGGAAGCTTCGGATGGCGGCTGCCAAGCTGCCCAGCTGCCCAGGCCACTTGAGGCTCAGGTACCCAGGGCCCGCTGAAGCTTGTGCTGCCTGCAGTGACAGCAGCAGAGGGGTGATGGGGTGTTGCCTTCCACCCCTGAGGGCTCCCGGACTGTGAGAGGGGGCAGGCTGGGCCGAGGGCACCCTCTCCCTCCAGTGCATGAATTTTCATGCACTGGGCCTCTAGTTAGTATTAGTAGCTGACATTATGGAGCACATATCTGTACCAAGGACAGTTCACGGGTCTTAACCCATCGAGTCCTCACACCACCCCACACTGCAGACCTGGCTCAGGGCCGAGGCGGGACTGAAAGACCAAAACTGCTCTCACAACTGACTTGTCACCGCTGCCGTCAGCGTGGGCGATGGTCCCACTTCAGCCGGCTGGTACGTTCTCACCCTCAGCGTGCAGCCCGGGGGGCGCGGGCTCCCCCGGCTCTGCCACCTGCCAGCGAGAGCTCGGCCGAGTCCCTGGGGGTCTCAGTTTTCTAACACAGATGATGGAAGACAATGCTTGAGTCTATTTTGAAGATCAAATGATAAAAGGATAGCAAGCTCCTCGGAAGAACAGAGAACTCTGTGGAATGTGAGGTTTTCCTGCTGGCCTGACCCTTCCTCTAGATCAGTGGTTCTCCACCTTCCTGATGCCGCGGCCCTTTAACACAGCTCCTCGTGTGGTGGTGACCCCCAACCATAAAACTATTTTCGTTCCTACTTCCTAACTGTAATGTTGCTCCTGTTAATGAATCGTAACGTAAACATCTGTGTTTTCCGATGGTCTCAGGCTCTACAGCAGCGGTTCTCAGCCTGTGGGTCAGAACCGCTAGCAGGGTCACCTAAAACCATCCTAGGTCATTTGTTACGCACAACCACAGGCACTATGGTGGCCACAGCCCCTTTCTCCTCCCACCGCACTCCCTGCAGCCTCTTCACTGGCCCTCCCGCCTCTGACACTGTCTCTCCCCAGCCGCCCACGCAGCAGCCTGAGGGAAACTGGAAAAGCCTGTGAGATCCCACCACTGCCCCACTCAGAACCCTCCGGAGACTACCTCCCCTCACCCCCCGTTTCCTCTGAATGAAAGTTCAGATCACAACCTGCTGTCCCACCCCTCACCCCTCTGCCCTCACCTCATCCACGCTCACTCTCCTCCAGCTCCGCTAACTTCCTTGCTGTTCTAACCCCAGGGCCTTTGCACCTGCTAGAACACTCACCCACCGGGTTTCCAGGTCCACTCAAATGTCTTGACCCCTCCCCCCGACTTAAACTGTCAACTGTTTCCACCCAGCACCCCACCCACCCGCTCTCCCTTCCCTCGCTGTGTTCTTGGATAGGCTGTCAGCTCAGAGGACTCACACATTTAGTGTCTTCCTCTCCCCTAGAATATCAGCTCTGTGAGGCTGACGCTTCAGCTGCCTGGCTCTCTGCTGTACCTTTGGAGTCCGGGGCAGCGCCCGGCACGGAGGACATGCACGGTCATTTCTGTTCAGTGAATGAGTGAGTGCCAACAACCCTGTGGAACATTCATTCACTAAATAGCAGAAGCACTGAATTCTGTGCCCCAGGCCCAGTCACCTGCACACACTGGGCATTTACTAGATGTTGGTGATGAGGGTTACAACCAAAAGCCAGAATCTCGTAAAGAGAACCCTCGATTCCCCCTGTCCCAGCCATGCCCCCTGCTGTCCTGGCATCCCCTTCCCCACCTCCTAGTCGCCCCCTGGATCCAGCTCCAGGGCGTCTTTCTCCCTGACCCCCCAGGATGACCTGCCCCCCGAGGGGGCCCCTCCGCAGGGATCCCGCAGCTCACACAGGGGGTGCTTACCAATAGCCTTGGCCGTCACCTTACTCCCTCTTCATCCCCCTTTACACAGACTGTGATAACCGTTTTTGAGTACCTACTATGCTCCAGCCTCTTCGTACACTTTATTTCTAACCCT